TTATTATACTGTATGAGAATTTGACGTATTAGTTAGAAAAATAATGTAAAGTTTTCTTATAAATATGCCTCTATGTATTCTTGTTAATCATCTCTCATTCAAAAAAACTAATTTCTTTTGAGATATTTCTCTGTTGCTTTATCTTTTTTTTCCTTTCTAACGAGACTCTCAGAGCTTTCCCCTCTGTTTGATGTCAGTTTCTGAGAATTAAAAAAACAACACAGCTCTGCTTCCAGCCGCCTGTTCTCAGATTTCAGATGAATCACAACCTGAGTTTCTCACCAGGAGCGTTTTGATCACTTCAGACACTTCACATTTGTCTCTCTGTAGTGGAATATTCCTCTAGACTTTGGTGATCAGAGCTKTTTGGGGGTTAAGACAAGGCCCTGCTGGCTTCCTGCTGCTGGAGCCAATCACAGACCTACCTTCAGCTCTGTGGTTGAATAAGAGCAGAAACTGACCTGCTTTATTTACTGCTCTCAGTGCACAAAATCTGCTGGCTCAGCGCCACTTTAAAAATAAAAAACTAATGGTTTCAGAATGAGTTCGACTTCCACCGGGGCGGTGGGCCTWAAGAGTTCAGAGCTCCGAGGAGCTGCAGGTGGCTCTTCTCTGGCTGCTCAGTGTCCTCCTGATGAGGGTTTTGGTGTTCCTCACCTCGTGGGCGATGAAGTAATAGCACAGAGCGTCCAGGCAGCAAGAGATGTTGGACAAACACATGGTCAGCTGCAGGAACAGGCTGATCCTGGACTTGGCCTCGCAGTCCTGGAACACATTTTGGTGCACCTGAAAACAACGTGTGTGGATTAAAAACWGAAACTGATGTTTTGACTTTGTATTAATTATTATCTGATGAAGAAGATGGATGCAAAAAAAAAAGTCCTCAACTAAACCTCAACCTCCTAAAATCTACAAAATCAAACTAAAAAAAACACACAGATGGCGCTCAAAGACAATCTGATATTTTTACAGACATTTAGTCTTTGTTTGTCCTGATTAAAAACACATCATAATAATCAGATAACATCATTCCTCAGCTCCACTTTTTATATTTATTCATCTGTAATTGAKCTGTGAAATGTTCCGTTTCAAAATTCTTTATATTCTTTTTTCAACGCCACAATTAAAATGGTTTTGGTAAACCTAAAAATTTTAAATTAGGAGACAGAAATAACATTTCTTTTATGTGCTAGTGATTGTTTTCCCTGTTTGAAGAGAAAAAAATTTTTAAAAATCATGTTTGAGTTGTTTTTTTTTCTTTTCTGGCCTACATAGCAACGGTTGACGTGGTTAAAACTGAGAGTTTTGGTTTTGGTTTACTCAGTAAACTTTACTGTCTTTGGTCCAAACTGAATCATCTTTTCCTTCAATAAGTTTGAGAAGTCGTTCATTTTTCTAGATTTGGGTCTCGGCCGTCATCGAGAGCTGATGACCGGACCGGTTATTTGTCAGTTTTTTGTTGTAATTTTTGTACAAAACACTGTTGATTTTTTCCTTCTGCTTTAAAGACTTAAATGCAAACATTTAATGTTATTTTCTTATAAATTTAATGTTTATGTTCAGAACAAATCGTGCTCCTTCAGCTTAGAATGAAGCATCATTGACTGAAATAGTGTATATTTTTATTTTATTGTATTTGTATGAGTTACTGTTTGAGGAGTTGAATTTTTGTTTGATTTGGTTTATTAT